GAACCAATTTTTTTGTCGAACCAAGTTTAAGGTGGTTCATATTCATTATCATGCATCATGTCTATGGAGTAAAGTTACTTTGCAAAATTTTTATTTGCCTTTTTCTTTCCTGTTTTTAAAGCAAAACTTGAAAGTTTTATTCTTTCAATTGACAACGTTTATATGTACTACTTATAGTAACATCCTAAAGTTGTTAGCTTTCTATTATTACTAAGCAATTAATTTCACTGTTTATATTTAAATTATTTTAATAATCCTGAATTTTGTCAATAAATTTTTGTTTAGTTGTTAGATACTAAATGTTTTAAATTCATATACTCAAACTCCTGAATGCGGTCATATCAGTCAAAAAATTAAACAAAAATTTATTAGTATCTCATGCTGATTTCATAGGTCCATATATTATTAGATCAAGATGCTGCAGCAGAATGCGTACAAGTAGGAGATAAGTAGACCATTCTAATCGCTTTGTCATTGAAAGTTATTTTGAATATTTATGCTATTCTATATGTTATTTTAAGAATATAAATTACATTTGTACTTATTTTTGTTTTATTGAGTCACTAAATAAGTAAGTTTCTCTGCCCCACCCCGTATATCTAGGCAAAAAATTGTTTTAACTCTTTTATTAATATAAATCTCTATATATAATTGCCGAATTTAATAGTTTTAGTAGTAGTTGTAGTAGTAGTAGTAGTAGTAGTAGTAGTAGTAGTAGTAGTAGTTGTAGTAGTAGTAGTAGTAGTAGTAGTAGTAGTAGTAGTAGTAGTAGTAGTAGTAGTAGTAGTAGTAGTAGTAGTAGTAGTAGTAGTAGTAGTAGTAGTAGTAGTAGTAGTAGTAGTAGTAGTAGTAGTAGTAGTAGTAGTAGTAGTAGTAGTAGTAGTAGTAGTAGTAGTAGTAGTAGTAGTAGTAGTAGTAGTAGTAGTAGTGCAACAGCAATTGCAACCGAAGCATTGGCGTAAAAGAGTCTCAGCTTTGCTTTATAAGAAAACGTGAGCGAACGTGAAACTTATATTGTACGTACGTAAACTTCATGTTGTGTGAAACTTATATTGTACGTACGTAAACTTCATGTTGTGTAATGTTAAAGCATACTTAAAAAAATATCAAGTTTTACAGTTTGACTTTGACTTAAAAATTTGCAGCAATTATTTTTGTTGAAAAACAATTTTAATATATAAATAATTTTCATATATATATTTTATATATATATGAATATTTTAAATGTATATCAACTAAATGTCTTTAATATTTTATGTTTCATGTTTAAATGTAGAGAAAACTTGTCGCCAAATGTATTACAAAATTTTTATTGTATGAAACCTAAAAACAATTAATAACATCTTATTGCCCCTTTTTGTCGTAAAAGCAAAGACCAGTTATTTGTTACTTACCGAGGTCCTTATCTCTGGAACAAAATAGTCGTACCAAATTTTGATTTTTCATCCCAACTGACTTTTGCTTCATTCAAGCAGAAACTTAAAAAAATTATATTTTTAATTGAAAATATCTTGATTTATTTTTAATTGCCTTTTTTTTTGTTTTGTTTTTGTTGTTGTTTTATTTTGTATATTATTTGGTTTAAATTTTATCTTGGCTTTTTAACATTTTATCTTGGTTTTTAAATATTTTTGCATGGAGGTGTATTATTATTTCACTACAGACATTATATTTTTATTAAAAGTTAACCATACATTGTAAAGGGCTTCATGACAAGATCCTCATGATCTTCTAGAAGTCCTGTCGTTACTAATGTAAAAAATTGTAAAATATATTTAGTTATTGTAATATTAAACGGCAAAAAAAAAAATAATAATAATAAAAAAAATATATATATATATATATATATATATATATATATATATATATATATATATATATATATATATATATATATATATATAATTTAAAAATTTCAATGACCTACGTGCCAGCATGGTAGTTGGAATACTTATGTTACTTTAGTTTTACATTACAAGTTTTTTTCAAACTGAGTTGAGTTTGCGCAAGAAAAATGAGCATACATGTTTATATAAAGAATATAAAATCTATAAAACAGTAAAGTCGTTTTGTTTTGCATTTTAAATAACAAAAATTAAAAAATAAAGCAAGCTGATGGTTTGAACTTGTTATGCGGCGACTTTTTAAAACAGTAAGGGGGTTTCAAAAGTATGTTTCATATAAGAACGTAATTAAAAATTCTAATTTTATACTTAAATTAAACCATTTTATTGAATTATATACTTTTAAAAATAATTAAAAGTTTAAGTTATTTATTATTGATACAATAAGGAAAGTTTTACAGATATTTTACCACGCCCCCGTTAAGCATTCTAAAAGCGAATGAGCAACAACGACAAAATTTAGATAACCATCAAAATAGTATTATACTACGTTATTTTTTGGCTTTATACACTTTTTGGCTGATCCCTAATCTAAACTTTAATTTAAGGGACCGTCCATTAATTACGCAACCCTAAAATTCACTAATGAACAAAACAAAAAAGCATTGCGCAGTGGGCCGGATATTAGACATATGATGGACAAAATTATTTCAATATTTATTTTTTACTAAAACCAAAGAGTCACTTTGTATAAGGATATATTTACTTTTATTATAAATTTGAACGCTGTAGGTTAAGCTTGACTTATGATTAGGTCAAAGTATTTTTAGGCGTGCTTCGATTGATTGTCTATTTGTCGAAAAAACTATTAATTGCGGCAGGTGGTTATCTGCCAGGCATGCAGAAATATCGTGTCGTTAGGCCAGTTCTCAGAAAGCATGATCAACTGTAGTTACTCTATTACCATCATCTACTTCTTCGTATTTAGTGTGTGCAAAATTAAAATCACCTAGCACTGTTGCATACCCAATACTGTTTATTGACTCCTTCGATATAGCGAGTGATAATGTTATTTCATGAAGCACCATATTGTTTAGATCATGGGGTCGCATTGATCTGAGGAGAATATTTTTTTAACCCAAGGCTTATTTATAACATTCTCTGAAAATTGAATAGCTTTTCCGAAACTTTCAGAAAATTAAAAAACTTTCTTCACATTAATGCCCAATTACTCGGTGTAATTAAGGCACTTTTAAAATATTAGAGCGTATGTATGATATTTAGTTGATTACGACATGTTTCCGTTAAATTGCCTGGTCTGTGAATTATGAAAAGACGAAAAATTTTGCAGTTTCATAAAATATAAATGTTTGTTGCGAAATAACCCAGACCGAAGACTCTTATTTTTTTAAATTATCTTAAAATCACAATCGCTCGTCCAAATTTGAATAAAATTTTATATTAATGCATTTTTTAGGTGAAATTAACATTATAGTTTAACAATATGATCTTTTCTTATCGTTTATTGGCAATTTTCCTTAATTATAAGCTCTTTCTTGGTCGGAATTCTAGTATTTTTTTTTGTGAAATTTGATAGAAATATTGAGCTTTAACAACTATATATAGTTAATATACGTCAGAACCGATTAGAACTAAGATAAGTAGTAAATTAAGGAACTTTTTCATAAAATTTTAACTAAATTCATGTTAATGCCAATGAGCGGAATTGATCTAAAGAATCCAAAATAGTCTTCTTTAGATTTACTATTACGGGTAGTAAAAAGGTTTTGAAAATCATAAAAAAAAAAGAAGAAAAGTTTCTTTAAATATTAGAAAAACCTGAAGAAAAAAAAATTATATCGTTTAAAGATCTTGTTTGGAAATATGCAGACAAAACCATGCTAATTCCAAATAAAACTATTCGAATAATTTGTAAATCGCCGAGTAGTCTATACTTACAGTTTTTTGCTTCAAAAATTTAAATTGAAAAAAAAGAGAAGCGGTTGATTTAAAATAAAAACCGTTATTCTTATTCATTTCTAATCAGACCCGAAATAGTAAAAAAAAATTCGAAAAAAAAAAATATATAACATACTGAAGTTAAAAAAAAAAAGAGTAGTGATTCATTTAAAATAAAAACCGTTATTCCGATTTATTTTGAATTAGACCCGATATATTATACAAAAATAAAAAATAAACGTAACATACTGAAGTTAAATAAATGTAACATACTGAAGTGTCTTATTGGTGAAAATTAAAAATGGTTATTGGTGAAAATTAAAAAAACTTGCTTTTTTTAAGCGACTTTGTTTAAATTAAATAAGCTTTAAGCACAACGTATAAATTTATAAAAATTAAATTATAAAAAATATATTCGACAATATTTGATAAATATTTTAAATTTGCACACATTGCAAGATTCGAAAGAATCTTTGAACGGATATATTCCACTTAAAACAGAATCTTTTTAATTTATGAACATATCATCATATAACCTCTGCGCAAGTTTTTTTCTCTTAATAATGGTAATAACCAAGAAAAATCAAAATTAAATTTTAAGCAATTAAACGCTGAAAAAAAATTAACTGTTAATTTCAAAAACTTTTAGACTTTTTTTTGTTATCTATTTTATTAACATTTTATAGAAACCCAAAAATTAGATTTTATTTATTGGATGAATAAGACTTATCCTTATTCGCATAGATTCATACTTCATTCACACATAAAGGAGACTTAACTTAGTGCTTTAGAACCTGGATTATTAAGAGACGCCATTATAAAAATTAACTCTAACAAATTATAGAATAGAATTATATAGACAGATAGTGTAATCAAGTTTATCACTTAATATTGCATAATTTATTTAAATTAAGTTTTTAAGCATAACTTTTATCTGAAAATAATTTACGCAAATTATTATACATTAATTATAAGCTAAACAAGTCACAACTAAATCAAAAAAATTCGTTACATTTTTTTTGTTAAACATAATACAAAAAAATCTGAAATTTCGACTTATTTTAATTTTATATATATATATATATATACATATATATATATATATATATATATATATATATATATATATATATATATATATATATATATATATATATATATATATATATATATATATATATATATATATATATATATATATATATATATATAACATCAAAAAGCTTGTTTAATCTTCTATTTTGTAAGGTAGTCAAGAACTTTGTCTTGATCAAAAGAAAACTCAAGCACAGCATTATGAATGTCACGTGGCTGAAATCCAAGTTTTTTAAAGTTTTCTACAAGTGCAAGATACTCATGAAGCTAAAAAAATTAAAAATAATAAAACTTCAAAATAAAAAGTACAAGCAAAATGTGATGACAGCATGTTAGGTACTTGGCAAATGCCTCTTAACAACAATAAGGGTAAAAATTTTTTAATATTAAGATTGTAAAGTTTTTAATACTAATGATAAACTAAAAAAATATATCATTATAAACTAAAAAACAATCAAATTCTCAAGTATCTTTTAATAATAAGTATCTTGTTTATAAAAAGAAGCATTAAAAAAAAATAATTTTAACAAGTTAGTGAGAAAAATCTTTGTAGAAAAAAAAAAATTCCATTAAAATAATATGAATTTAAATTTAAAAATGAAAATGTATTTATTTTTTATTTATCTATTTGTGAAGATTTATAGAAAAAATTAGAACCTTGTCCGTTTTATTTGAACAATATACTAATCCCATCTCTACACTTTCTGGATCATAGCCATTTTCTTTTGTCTTCTCATAAAGACACATAAAATCAAGCACCTAAAATAAAAATATTTAATATAAAAACAAAAGGTTTACTATAAAAAAGAATTTTATAATAAAACTCAACAGATCTTGCATAAAACTCTGTTTTCAATTTCTAATCACCAAACAACAAAAGCACAGCTAAAACGTGTATTCTCGGGAACTTAATACTAGGGGTGGAAATAAAAAGGGAGAGGGGTGTTAGTTTTAGTCCAGATCTAATAAAAAAATTAATAATCTTATCTAATAGAACATAGAGAAAAATACAGAATACCGAACACAAATAAACAAACAGAATACAGAGTACAAATATACAATTTAATTCTAACGTGGCTTGCGGTTAAATTAATATGCTTTATATATATGCATAAGTTTTATACTATAGTGAGAAATAAACAAAAACCTAAATTTTGATCAAAATTTACAAGATTTGTTAAAGGACGACGATTTTTAAAAGCTAATTACACTGAAAGTTTTTATTCTTATCAGTGTAATTTGGGAAGAAAAAATTTCCATCTACACTTTTATTACCACCCTACATTATATTATGTTCCTGAAAGTACTGACTATATTTTGGGCTCCTAAGAGAGAAATAAACGAAACTCCAAATTATTGGACTATTATTATTTTCTTTATAAATAAAGTAGATACATAGTATCTACAGTATCTAATTATTTATAAAAATTTACAAAAACCCGCAAAAGATTTTATTAATCGAGTTGATTTTGGGTGCAGAAGTTGCAGCTTACACTAATTCCTGAGATTTTGCATTACAGATCTGACTAAAAATGCTTGAACAGGATGATCATTTGATTTGGCATTTTTTTTGATTAATCTGAGGTAAATGCCTTCAAGACATGCCGAGGGTTGATTTGAACATGGGTGCTTGTTATATATGGTTGCTACATGGTTCTCTATGGCCGCCAGATTCATGATCTGAGAGCTAGAGATATCGCTATTATAAGCTGGAGTTCAAAACTCTGAATAACAATCCTATTAGAACTCAATACTCTCAAGTCATGAATTTGTTTTTCTAATATTACCACTTTCAAAGAATCAACAACTGTCAAATATACTTATTCTGATATTATATACAGTTAACTCCCAGTATGTCAAACACCAGTTAACTCTAACTTTAATTAACTCAAACGGTTTCGTTTTATCTCTTGAAACTGTCTAGCAGGTTACTATTAAAATTCTCCGTTTAAGTTGAACCTCAGATAACTCCAACTTTGTTAAGTCCAACCATTTTTTTATCCCCTTTCAGGAAATATCTTCAGTTAACTCAATCCTTTTGTATGGTAACTAAGTATATTGACATTTTTTTTAAAAAAGAAGCTACTCTATATGAAATATAAATCAATGTAGCCTAATAATTTCTTTATTTTTTTTTTGTATTTAGATATAATTAGAATAGTAAAATTATTAAAACTTAATATTAATCATGATAAAACCGTTAAAAAAACAATTGCTTTATAGTTTAATGAATTTCTAGATAAAAGATCACCTTTTAAACGCGATTTAATTACCAAATAATAGTGTCACTAAACTTTTTTGAATGGTATCTTTTGACTGTACTCCTTGAATACAATTTGTAACTTCTTTCATTAAAACATTAGTATAATGCTATAAATTTAATGTACATACTTCAGCACTGAATAAAGAAAAATTGCCTTAACTGGAACTAATATCTCATGTCAGCTAACGTTCGACTTGATGGGAATTCGCTTTAGTCAAACATTCATTAAGTAGAGCCATTTTCTTTGTTTTCTTAGAGGTTCGAGATATCAGGAATTAACTCTATTTATTTAGTTTATATGATTCCCAAAATAATTTTTAAAGTTTGCTTATTTTCAATGGAACTTATTCATAACTTAATAATTTTAAATTGAATTAAACTCCACCAAAAACTTTTTTTATTTCATTATTAATAGCAAAATTAATAACTTCACTAACTTTTCTAATAAATTTTTAATAAAAAATTTAAACAAATAAAATGCAAACCTCTTTTTCATCAACACCAAGGCGCCTTATAGCTCTTGAAACACAAGGAAGAGAAAAACCCATTGCTGAAATTTGATAGGCAAAATTTCTTTCATTTGTTGATAACAATGGTGTTTCATCGATTAACCATGATTGATTGGTGTCTTGCTTTTGAGATATTTGAGGCAGTACAGGGTAATGAGACTAAATAAACAATATATATATATATATATATATATATATATATATATATATATATATATATATATATATATACATATATGTATACATTTACATATATACATGTATATATATACATATATATATATATATATATATATATATATATATATATATATATATATATGTATATATATATATATATATATATATATATATATACATATATATATACATTTACATATATATACATATACATATATAAATATATACATATTTTTCCAAAAAATAAACTAATACAAAGTATTTTTATATAATTAATTAAATAAACTTTAAGCACTAGAGGCTTTCGAAAAAGATAAAAAATATTCAAATTCTAAAAAACATTTATCAGACTCCATAAATAGTAATAATAATATTGATGTAAGTTCTATTGTATCAAATAACGATGACATCCACCATGACCAACTAACAAAATCAATACCCTCAAAAAACTGGACAAGCCCAAGTACAAAAAAATACAACCTAAGGTCATCAACCTACCCACCAAACACTTGACATCTTCTCAAATATCTCTTCTCACCAAAGGTCCAAAGTTTTGCCCAGCCACAAATGGTAATTTCTTACATATCAATTCAGATATTAAAAATTTTACTAGAAAACTTATACTTTTATTTTATACTTATACTTAATTTTATGGTGCTAAAAGTAGCTATTTTAGTATAATTAAAAATAAATCTAATTATTGTACCAAAACCACTCTGCCAGAATTAAACGAAATTATTTCACAAATTGAACAAACTAAACCTATTAAAGTCCAATATATTGATAACATTACAAAAGAAGAAAGAGCAGCGATTAAAGAATTACAAGAAATGAAAGACATAGTCATTAAAAAAGCTGACAAAGGTAATACTTTAGTTGTAATGGATTTGACATTTTATATCAACAAACTTGTTTATCAAGACCATCTTTTTTCTGTTAATACATATGAAAAAATAAGTACTGAATCAGATAAAATAATTTTTAGCTTGATTAAATTTTTTTTTTATTTTTTTTTTATTTTACTTCACCTCCTTTAGGCCGAGAAGGCCACTACAAACGAGGAGGCTACTTATTTTGTGGCTATAACCCTCTCTCAACTCTATAACTCCGAAACACGAACCTTGACGAACAGGGCCGCTGCGCGGAGAAACGAGTTGAGCGCGGTACTACCAGGGACGTGGTGGGGATCGAACTCGGAACCACTCGTTTATGAAGCGAGCGCTCTACCACTACACCACTACCGCATTGATAAACAAACATGAATACCTCACGACAACTGAAATAAAATATCACAAAATTTAAATGGAAATCTAGTAATTTTTATGTAATTCCTAAAATTCACAAATGCCAAGAAATCATTAAAAAGGTAAAAGAGTCCAACTCTTTATTCATTGTAATGAAACCACCAAAAGATCTTACAGGTAGACCAATTATTGCCGGAATAAATTCGCCAACATCTGGTTTGAGCCAGTTTTTACATATAATTTTATCACCAATTGTAAAGAAACAAAAATCTTTCATTAAAGATGACTGGGATTTCCTCAGAAAAATTCCAAGAGAGTTTGAATCAGAAAGTCATATAATAACATGCGACATTGTCAATCTTTACACAAGCATCCCACATTATTTTGGTTTAGAAGCCCTAAAGTTCTGGATATTTAATATAAAGAATTGATAGATAAAAGATTTACACCTGAATTCATAATTGAGTCAGCATCTTTTATTTTAAATAACAATAATTTTATATTCGATAAACAATTATTTCACCAAACAACTGGTACAGCCATGGGTACAGATTTCGCGCCAGATTATGCTTGTCTTACTATTAGGTTTTTAGAAGAGACTAAGCTTTTTCCAGTAAATTTACCTCAGTATTTTTCAAACCGTGAAGTAGATGATATAAAAAAATTTTATTTTAGATATATTGATGATGGTTTTATAATCTGGCCAAAACATCTTGATATCATAAATTTTAAAATTTCTCTAACTGAATTAAATGAATCAATTAGTTTTACAACCGATTTTGGCAAAGAGTTTTCTAAAAATGAAAACACCTACAGTGTAATTAACTTTTTAGACATTGCAATTACTCTTGAAAACTATAAAAAAATTCAAACAGATATTTATTATAAAGAAACACTCTTGACTACTTAAACTATAACAGTCATCATCTATTACACATCAAAAAGAATATTCCTTATAATTTAGCTAAAAGAATAATTGTTTTTACATCTAATTACGAAATTGAAAAACTTCGTCTAGCTGAACTAAAGTCATGGTTGAAAGATTATGAATATCCTGATGTAATTATAGATAAAGCATTCCATAATGCAAAACTACAAGGACCAGCGTCACAAAAGAAGTCTAAAGTAATATTTCCTTTAGTGACAACATTCTATAGTAATATCAATTGTCAACCTTTAATAACAGAAACTAACCCTTTACTCAAAGTATCTCAGAATGAAAGAGTCAAATATGTTTTTTCTAATATTCATCCGGTATTAGCTTTTAAACAACCTCCTAACTTATTAAGAAGACTTACTTCTTCAAAATTTGAAGCAAACAATAAGAAGATTAGCATATTTAAATGCAAAGACATTCGATGTAAAATATGTAAACTCTACCTTCAAGAAGTAGATGAGTTTGAAGCTTCTAATGGTACTATCTGGAAAATAAAAAGTCACATCACATGCAACAGCAAAAATGTAATTTATTACCTTAAATGTTTGGCATTCAAAAAACAAGCCACATATATTGGCAAAACTAACATTTCAAGATTACAAATAAATGGACATATTTCTAGTTGCAGAACTGGCCTATCAACTAATAGATTTGACAACCACGTTTATACCTGTCAACACTCCCACCAAAAGTTAATTGAACCATTTTTTCAACTTTTTGTTTTCCTTGAGCTTAACAATGAAAGTTTTTTGTTATAATACGAAAAGCATCTGCACAAACAAAAACATGATGCTTTTAATTGATACTTCCTGTGTATTATTAGAATTAAATTTATCAAAACAGTTACTCATAGCAACAATATGCAATTAAATTTATTTTGTATACAAAAATTTTACTATAATACCATAACAGCACTACTGAAGATTTTTTGAAAAGGCCTCTAGTGCTTAAAGTTTATTTAATTAATTATATAAAAATACTTTGTTTTAGTGTATTTTTTGGAAAAATAAAAAAAATATTTTTAGTAATAACTATTTTGAGAAAAAAAAGATTTACTTTTGTTTACATATATATATATATATATATATATATATATATATATATATATATATATATATATATATATATATATATATATATATATATATATATTTATTTATTTATAACAAAATTGCAATGATTTATATATATATATATATATATGTATTTATATATATATATATATATATATATATATATATATATATATATATATATATATATATATATATATATATATATATATATATATATATATATATTTATTTATAACAAAATTGCAATGATTTATATATATATATATATATGTATTTATATATATATATATATATATATATATATATATATATATATATATATATATATATATATATATATATATACATATATATATATATAAAACAAAATGTGGTTTTGTAATACTGAACTTGGTAGAAACAAAAGCAAAACTATTTAGTTAAGTTTATTTTTAAGTGATTTTCTTAACTTAAAAAGACTTTGGTTACTGAAGTAAACAATGAAAAATATACTTGAAATGTCATAAATAATAAAAGATATATATGTAATGCAATTATCTAAAAATCAAATAAGTAGAATTAAAAGCTGGTAAGAAACATTTATTAAAAAAAAAAGTTTTTGTGCTCAATGCGCCATGACTTAACATCTTTTAAAAAGCGACAGCTATAAACTTTTATATACGTTAATAACAAAACTATAATGTCAAATGAGTACAAATACTAATAAAATAAACTTACTGCACTATAATTCCGATATTTTTTTTCTCATTTTTTTATTTACAAGCAAAAAAAAAAAAAGCTTTTTGTTTCTACCAAAACAAACAAACAAAAAATGAAGTAAATTAGAATTAGAATTAAAAAAAAAGTACTCAAAACTTTTAAATTCTACTTTTTAATGTTGATTTCTAAGATTTGTTAAATAATAAAAACTTTACTAGATAAATATATAAAGTAATTAAAAGTTTTTTTTAGTCTTTTTGTGTAAAATGGTTTATAAGAGCGATATATTTGTAAAAGTCAAATCAGCACTAAACATGCCAGTGTCTGTAATCAGTGTCTTAAGTGAGATTATAAAACATCTTAAAAGATATGTCAGGACATCTTAACAAACAAGTATTACAATGCAATATTCTCAAAACAGTTAATGACTTTTTACAATGCATTTTTTGCACCTTGTCTATAAAAAATAACTCTGCCTATAAAGAATAGATTAAACAAGGATCAATAGAAGACTTACGATAGGATCAATACAAGATCAATAAAAGGATCAATAGAAGACTTACGATAGGATCAATAGAAGATCAATAAAAGGATCAATAGAAGACTTACGATAGGATCAATAGAAGATCTATAAAAGGATCAATAGAAGACTTACGTTAGGATCAATAGAAGATCAATACAAGGATCAATAGAAGACTTACGATAGGATCAATAGAAGATCAATACAAGGATCAATAGAAGACTTATGATAGGATCAATAGAAGATCAATACAAAGATCAATAGAAGAGTTACGATAGGATCAATAGAAGATCAATACAAGGATCAATAGAAGACTTACGATAGGATCAATAGAAGATTTATGAGAGTAAAAAAAAGAGGAACAAAAGCAATCTTTAGCAGATGGAGTCAATTTATACTTTTAAAGAAATGTCAATTATTAAGGATAATCTAAGAAGACATTAAGTAAAAGAGCCAGTAAAATATTTTGTCATAGGAACATTCAAATATTATTGTAATAAGTACTAGTAGAACTTATTTAAGTAAGAACAAGAGTCACTTTAACAAAAAAAAGAGGATTATTTCTCAAATGCACACATTTAGTGCTTAACTAAGTATGTGTGTGTTTGAGAAAACCCCCTGTAAAAATAAACACCCCACTTTAAAAATTAATGTTTCGTAAATAATATGTAATAAAAAACAAAAACATACATTGCTCACCCTTATGCGTTGGTCAGATGAACTCATTTGAACTTGGCTAACTAAATTATCTGCTGAGATCGAAGGAAGTCTTATAATATTTGGTATAGAATTTGCTTTTGGTTGAGAGCTAAATGAATTTTGAACTGGAATTTTTGTATCTTGGAAAAGTGGAAAATTTTTGCTAGGATAATTTCCTATAGTTGACGTTGATGTATAAACATTTGAATTTGTGGAGCAAACTTCTGGAAACTCTGCAAACCCTGACATTTCGTGGTTTGATTTTGTATAATGAGGACTTAAATTGTTAAACAGATTTTCGTTCCGAAAAGGATTTGTGTCTGAAAAATTTGTAGAATAATCTAATTTTATTCCGTTAGGTAATGGTTGGGGATGGTTGTACCCATGAGGTAGTGGTTGGTTGTGTCCATGAGGTAGTGGTTGATTGTGTCCATGAGGCAGTGGTTGATTGTGTCCGGGTGGCAGTGATTGGTTGAGTCCGTGTGGAAGTGGTTGATTGTGACAAGTTTGTGGTACCTGAGACATCCTCTGAAACTGATATTGTTGCATAATAGTATGGATTCGATTAGTATCAACACTACTTGTAATAATATTTTCAAAACTTTTATTATAAAAATTATCACCTTTTTCATTTAAATCAGGCACATTTTTATCATTTATTGAGTTATTTAAATTTGGTAAAGACTTGGTACGTGTAAGTTTTAATGAAAATTCTGAATTTTGGCTCTGACAAGTTTCTGGACAACTCTCAACAAGTTCGTGGTTAATATTTGTTTGAGCACCAAACGATTGGTTTCTAAGTCTACTAGTTTTTTCTTCTTCAGGACTCATAAGCATTTCACCAAATGGCGAAGAATTAACCGAGGTATATGTTAGTAAATTATTTTGTACAATAGAATAATGATTGTTTAAAGGTGTTGGCTGTTCAACACTTTTCCACAACAGCATCGAAGATTGTATTGGATGTGTATTTGAAGGTGTTAGATGAGCATTTGAAAAAGGTATTGCATGTATATTTGGATGTAAATTTTCATTTTTATTATTAAAAGAGTTATTTTCAGAAAATATATTTAAATTAAAATCTTCCTTTTCTGCAGTTGGAATATGTTTTTTAGGTTTTATAGATTTTGGATCAAGAACTCTTTGTAGTTCATCTTTTTCATTTAACGTTTGTAACTCAACAAGTTCAAAAGGGTTTATATTTTCTGATTCAAACTCATGAAAATCAATTTTTTTTGTGACATTTACAGGAGCAACATGTGAGTCTTTAAATGAAAGAACTTGAGGCACAAGTATTTGTTCTTTATTTTCATTATTTTCTATAACATCATTTTTCTGATTGATTTTAAAATTCCTTTCGCTAATCTCAGATTCCAATATTTCTTTTTCTTTCTTTAAATTTAGTTGGTGCTCTTTCATTAAGCGTTCCTCATTTGCTTGGCTAACTGAATACCTTTCTTTAGTAAAATCATACTAAAAAGCAATAAATAAAAAAAATTAAAATATATTATGTAAATAAATTAAGATGAGTAAGATGGAGTAATTTTGCCACTAATTCTTTCAATTTAAATAACTTGAGAACTAAAAATCAAAATCAAATTTTTTTTAATTGTTAATAATATTTTATAAACTTTACATACTTAAATTTTTTCTTTTTTAAAAATAATAAGAACAGAAAAAATGGGGTGACAAAATTATCCCAAAAAAATCTAATTGGGGGGAATTTTGCCACCTATGTTTTTTACAACATAGTTTTTTTATTTTAAACTATAAATCTTAAAAACACATTTACAATCAGTTAAATAAAAGAAATCTAACAATATTCAATAAGTGGGGGCATGGCAATTGATACTGAGAAGGTATCGGGGCATGTCCCCCCCACCTTTTTTACTTTTTTTTTTTTAAGAAATGTGGGATATTTTAGGAGATTCATAATATACCAACCCCAGCTATCCTATCTGAATATTGAATTCTTCCTCCTAGTGTCCTTCGAGGTATACAGTATAATTATGTTTGCCTTCAACTCAGTTTTTCCATTAGCTCTTCACTATATTTGGTGACAGATTTTCTCTTGTAGTTTTGCAGCACTGTTGCTGATAATTGATCAATTTAATTAATTTGAATTGATTATAAAACCAACATGACCTGAGAGAATTATTAACAAAACAAGAAGAAGGGAAATAATATTAAATCAAAGTGTATTTCTATTTAATATAAATAGGTGGCAAAAGTCCCCCATTTAGTACTTCCGTAATAACTTTGGAACCGATCAAAATTAGAAAGAAAAAAAAAATGTAAAGGTTCTTTGAAAATTTTCCAATATTTTAGTCTTTTAAATTTTGAATAGAAATAAATAATTTGACTTTTATGAAAACTTTAAATTTCTTTTTTTTTATAGATTATTTTTGTCATTTAATTTTCTTAATAAGTTTTCACAAAAAGGAGATTTTTTTTTACTTAATTTGATAAGAAATTTATTTTTCTTCTAATAGAAATTTGAACTATAAAAAAATCTTATTCCTGAGTAAAATTATATTGTTATAAAAGTAGATTTACACCAATTAGTGGCAAAATTACCCTATTTTACTCTATGTTTAACACAAAAATATGCATCTGAAAAAAAATGTAATAGAATTTATTTATTTACATTTTTTTTTATTTTTATATTGTTATCGTTTTAATAAATACACAATTTGATTTTTAAATATATTTACACCTAAGGCAATTGAAGGTAAATATATTTTGAAAAATTAATTTTTCAAATGTTTAAAAACAAGTCACAAGCAAAAGCAGTCAGAGACAACATTTAACTTTTTACTTTTTAAAACAACTTTTTTTAGAACAAAAAAACTTGCTAAACAAGGTTCTTGCACAGAAAAGCAGGTATATATATTATTACAGGTATATATTACTGGGGATGTGATAATACTACATTGCAATACCAGGGATGTGGTAACTCTTTTATGTGAAAAAAGCCACTACAAACATTTTATTTATTTAAGAACTTGGTTTTAGCAAACAATAATTTTTCCCATTAAATTTAAACATGACAAATTTATTGATGAATAATATATATTTTTAATTATAAATACAATTGTAATTAAAACCAGGCTTGTGGAGCTGAACTGGAGCTGCTGTTTTTTGGTGGAGCTGGAGCCGCAAAAATCAAGCGGCTCTCGGCTCTCATGTTTTTTAAAGGAATAAAACGTATGTGTTTTTTTACTGTAGATAAACTTTATTCATTTATTGTTTACCCAATTTGTCGAACGAATTATTTATTAAACTTCTATTTTTTTTAAATACTTTTCTTAAGAGTTACAGTCTTGCAAAAACATAATAAAAAGGATTATTTTAACGTTTTTGTGCTCAACAAAATACTATCCTTTAATAGCATTTTATAAGATGCTTTAATAAAAAAAAAAACAATTTAAATATATATGGAAACATTACAGTGTTGCATATATTGCTTTATATTATATTTTTATACTGATACTGTGCTGTTAAATATTTGTTGAGCCGTTTAACGATTAAAGGTTATTCATATCTTTAAAATTATACTAAAACACGCAATCTTTAAATTTGGAACAATGAATTTCATTTTAAATTATTTTTTTGGCATAACTTACATTAATTAATTATAGCATTAATTAAAAACATCAACAAACAAGTCAAAATGTTAATCTCTTAATTAAAATGTCGTTGAAACATTTAGAAAAACGAAAAAAGTTCTAAAAATTGTCTATAAAATCCTTCTGCATCATTACTTTCAATTGCTAAAGCATCTGAATCTAGCAAAACTACTGATTGTATGGTCATAAATCAATACAAGAGCTCTCTATCTATCCAGCAAACAAAGGGATCTGGAAGAAAGATTGGCTTTAAAGATAAGAAAGCAGCAATAAGTATTCAACAATCATTCACGCAAAATTCTGGTTTATCGAACAGAGAACAAGTAAAAAGGTATGAAGTTTCAGAATATTTTAAAGAATAAAATTTGGCAAGCAATATGCAGCTGCGGTTTGAGATCTGGAGCTTTTGTCACATCGTTAACTTTAAACTTGGATGTTTACATCAAAGAATATTTGCAAGCTAGACTTTAGCAATTTTATCAAAGTCACAATGTCCCCTGTTGGTTCTGGCCTAATCTTGCTTCTTGTCATTATTCTAAGAAGAGTTGTACAATTCGAAAGACATTAAATTCATAACAAAAAGCTTAAATCCATCAATCTGCACACAGTTCTGTCCCATTGAGAAACTTTGGGGAATTATCAAAGGATATTTGTGTAGGATATTTATATAAATAAATAAATTTTAACAATAAAAAAATTTTAACGGTTAAATAATAAATAAAGCTAAATATTTGATTAGAGAGTTACATAGAGTAAGAAAAATAATTTTCAAAGTGTGCAGAAGTTGATGCTGTTGATTAGCGTAAATGTTTGCTAATTTATTTGAAATAATGAAAAATATTAAAATAAAAAGCACTTTTATAATCTTCAAGTTCCATAGATTAAAATAAATATTTTATTTTGCATTAATTGAATTATTTTTCTTTTTTTTTTAAATTTTTATCATTTTGAATCTAACGACCACATGTTTTACCCAACGGACATAGGACATACAAAAGAGGTCTTTTAAACGTCTTATGAATGCTTTGAACACCTTTTGAACATTTTGGAAATCTTTGGGACATTCAAAAGACATCTTTTTTAGGTACCATGTCCTCTGGGTAAAATTGGAACTAAAATTTGAACTAAAAACTCTAGTTTTTGGTAAATAATATATAGAAAAAAGTGTTTGTTTGGCCAAAAAAAATTCTTTTTAAATCCTGTAGTAGAGTACAATAGATACAATAACTTAGTTAAAACTTAGTTAAAAATTAATTGCTGCAATTGGTATTTAATTAATTGCTGTAATTGGTAATTATTTGTAATTGTAATTGGTATAGTTTTGGGTAAGAAAATGCGATTAAAAAAAATATCCAAAACTTGCATAAAGTTCAGGAGCTGGAGCCGGATATTTCTTAAGAGCGAGTGCCGGAGCCAAGCCGTAAAAAAAAACACTCAGCTCCACAAGCCTGTTTAAAAAAATATTAATTTTTAAAACTATAATTATGAAATTAATTAAAACTGTTTAAAAAATTAATTGATTAAAAATAAATATTTATTTTTATTATATAAGACTTTTTGAGCATTATAATATATATATATATATATATATACATATATATATATATATATATATATATATATATATATATATATATATATATATATATATATATATATATCTATATATATGTATATATATATATATATATATATATATATATATATATATATATATATATATATATATATATATATATATATATATATATATATATATATATATATATATATATATATATAGGTATAACTATACCTATATATATATATATATATATATATATATATATATATATATATATATATATATATATATATATATATATATATATAGGTATAGTTTTAAATATATTGAAGAGGTATAGTTTTAATATATTAAGGTCAGGTCAGGTTTTCCTGCTACTGGTAACATGTAACCCAGTACAACCTGCTCCATGTCCTGCTGCCTTGTAGGATACGCTTTTTTAGGCAAAGGCTAGGAGAAGTTAACTCCGAATTAAAACACCCCCTGCCTTGGGGCTCTTGGTTGAGTAAAGGCTAGAGATGGTGTCTCGATAAAAATACTCATCTTGGGCAGATGTTACATGCATCCAGCTGCTGTCTTGTAGAAGGCCTCCTAGGCAAAGACTTAAGGGGTAAACAGATTCTATCTGTTGACCAGCCTCGCACCCCTTCCTCATCTATTAGGCTGGCGCAGATGTATTCTTAATACATTGTTTCCAGTTTAGGATGTTGAACGCTGGATCTTCTTGACTCAATGCGTGGGTATTGCTTGTGTCTCTATTTTTATGACTGGGCAACTCATTCTATTATCTCCTAATGAGGGTACAGCTCTAAAACTCAGTTTTATGGTTCTGAGGCCGGCTGGTAGTCAGGTTTCCCGAACTCTGTGGTAGCTCTCAGAGAGGCTGATTCCATCAACAGCCGAAAAATATCAGAGTACTAACAGTGCCATGTTGCGCATGGATGGTGTCCCTAATTGTACTTTTGGTGTGCATTGCAGAGGCCACATTTGGAGCCCTTTGTTACGGCTTAGGGTTTATTAAGAGTAATGAGGCTATTGCTTAGTTGTTAAATAGTGTACTGAGTACTATCTATACTTGAGTCAAGTTCTTTATAAATTTAAAATGACTAAAGTACCTAAAACTAAAAAACACAAAAAACCATTGTCATCACCAAGTTCTCTAAACCTATCATTTACTAATATTCGTGGTCTTCGAAGTAACTTTTCTTCTGTTGAGTCTTATCTTTTGCAAAGTTCACCAGACCTACTTGCTCTTTGTGAGACTAATTTAAGTTTGGCTG